CCATGCTGCAATGGGGCCACCTCAAGACGTCCCATGCTGCAATGGGGACACCTCAAGACATCCCATACTGCAATGGGGACACCTCAAGACAACCCATACTGGAATGGGGACACCGCAAGACAACCGACTCATGCTGCAATGGCCAAGATTCTTAGCCAAAGTTTACTCATGTCCTTGAGCCTTCTGCCAGGTCCGTTTACTTCAACCAAAGCCCCCAACCGCTGGCTTTCACATCTTATCTGTGGACTATTTGAAGAGTCCTGTTAAGGCAATGGGTCTGTGTTAGTTTTTTGATACTGTATCTGACTAGAGATAATCAAGCAGTCAACAAAAGATATCTTACTCGAGCCTTTGGAGGCTGTCGCTTCTTATTGATTAGCCTTGTTATGTTAGGCCAGTATCAGGAGATCATATAGTAGAAATCATTTTATGGCCAGGCCACAAAAGGAGAGAGAGGAGAGGCCAGAAATCCATTATCCTTTCAAGGGTCACCCCAGTCACATAAGGTGGCCTCTCCTAGAATAAACCTCTTAAAGTTTTGGTCACCTTCCAGTAGTAACATTCTGAGGAACAAGTCTGTAGCATGTAGTCAGAGCCTTTCCTTCAGACAAGACTCAAATGTTTGCATACATTTTTGTTGGCTTGTTTGTGTTCTGAAACAGAGTTTTCTCTGTGTAGCCCTGGCTGTCCTGGAACTCGCTCTGTAGACCAAGCTATCCTTGACCTCAGAGATCCTCCTCCCTCTGCCTCCAGAGTGCTGAGATTAAAGGTATGTACCATCACTGCCTGGCTAAATGTTTGCATAAATTTTAAACTGAAATAACTAACTTTCCGAAGCTGTGGGGATCTCTGAGGCTGGACAGACAACCTAGCCAAATGATGAGTCCCTGGTCTGTGAGGGACTATATCCTAAAAAAAATAAAAACAAAACAAAATAGGCTGGATGGTGATGGCACACGCCTTTAATACCAACATTTGGGAGGCAGAGGCAGGCAGAGCTCCATGAGTTTGAGGCCAGCCTGGTCTATAGAGTGAGTTCCAGGATAGCCAAGGCTACACAGAGAAACTCTGTCTTGAAAAAAAACAAAAACAAAAACAAATTAAAACCCAACATGGATTCCTGAGGAACAGCACCCAAGATTCACTACTGGCTTCCATGCACATGTGCACCTACACACTGAGGCACATGTGCATTGCACACACAGACACATGTGCACTATACATACAGACACACGTGCACTACACACACAGGTACATGTACACTATACACACAGACACATGGGCACTACACACACAGGTACATGAGTACCTACATACAGATACATGTGTACTGCACACACATACACATGTGCACACTACACATACAGGTACATGTACACTACACACAGAGACACATGTGCACTACACACACAGACACATGTGCACTACACACACAGACACATGTGTACTACACACACAGGTACATGTACACTACACACACAGGTACATGTACACTACACACACAGGCACATGTGCACCTATACACTGAAGCACATGTGCATTGCACACATAGACACATGTGCACTACACACACAGACACATGTGCACTACACACACAGACACATGTACACTACACACACAGGTACATGTACACTACACACACAGGCACATGTGCACCTATGCACTGAAGCACATGTGCATTGCACACACAGACACATGTGCACTACACACACAGATACATGTGCACTACACACACAGACACGTGTGTACCTACACACAAAGGCACTCACAGTTTTAAAAACACGCTTATACAAGGACATAAGCCCAGAGTCTGGTCCCCTCAGAGTGACACTTCAGTCACCACTCTTTTTATTAACCGTTACGGCCACCGACTACTGTTTCAAAATGTCTGATGTAACCCTCCTAATTTTGTCTCTAATAACTTCCCCTTGCCTCCACTGCCTTTTGGATTAAGCCCTTAGTTTAGATGGCTCATGCAGTGTTCTGCCCCCATGACTATGCTCTGTGCTTCCCGAAGAAGTAGCAGTCTTTGCAGAACCTCTGGGTCTTGGTTAGAGAGAGAGTACATTTTTATAATCAAGCCTTAAAAATTATATGTATCTCTTAAAATCATATTCTCTTATTCAGTAGACACAGGTCCTATATATAGTATTTTAATATAGAAATGTGCCGAGAAAAATCACCAATTCAATTACTTGTTAGTATTTTAAAGATTGGTTACATATGATAGATATACATATGATATATCTGAACCTATATTTCTGTGAATTGAACCATAAATGCATAATTTTAAAGGAAAAAAACTTCATGTGTACACTGCTTCACAATTGTCCTTTCCTACACCTTTCAAAGGAGTCAGTTCCTTTCTAAAACATTACCAAGGGCGGCAAAGGAGTCTATTAGACGGCTATATCCCATTATCTGGTCAGTGCCTGAAGTCATGCGTATGTCTTTTGTTACAAACAGCAGCTTGAACATTTCTTGACACAGATTTAAAATTTCACTTTTACATTTTATTTATTTATTTACTTATTTTATGTGTGTGTGTGTGTGTGTGTGTTGAGAGTACACACATACCAAAGTTGAAGTCAGAAGGCAATCTGACTCCTTCTACACATGGATCCCAGGAATGAAACAGACATCACCAGGTGTGGCAACGTGTGCCTTTACCCCTGAGACATTTTACCCACCCAGTTTTTGAAGCTAATTTTTTGTCGTTGTTTTCAAGATAGGGTTTCTCTGTGTAGCCCTGGCTGTCCTAGAGCTCACTCTGTAGACCAGGCTGGGCCTGGAACTCACAGAGATCCTCCTGCTTCTGCCTCGTAAGTGCTGGTGAAGACATGCACCACCATGGCCCAGCCTACTCTAATCGTTCTATCTATCTGATTATAGACTAAAAGTGGAATTATTACACAAAAATTATAGAAATAAGATTTTTAAAAGTTTTTTTTTTAATTTTTGGCAAAGGGGCAGTGGTTGGAAAAAGGATTTTCTTGTACAATATACTTAAAGAATTGTACAGTTTCCCTATGCTAGAACACTGCCTTCTATTTAAAAAAAATATCTACAACTTAGCTTTTTCCCCGTTTGTTTGTTTGTTTGAGATACAGTCTAACTATTTTACCCAGACTGGCTTTAACCTCATGGGAATCCTCCTGTATCTTTCTCCCGAGTACTAGAATTAGAGGCATGAGCCCCCAAGCCTGACTTGCTAATTTGATTTTTTTTGTTTATTAATAAGAATTTATGTTTATCACTTGTGGTGAGCCTTCTTGTGTGTTCTGTAGACATCTGCCTTTGGATTCAGTTTTTCAGATTGTCGGCTGTGGGTTGTTTGCTTTCTAACACTTGTAGAATCATCTATGCATCCAATTCTATCCGTCCTTTTCCTTATGGGGTCTTCCTTTCTTTTTTTTTTTGCTTAGCAAATTCTTCCTGTTCTTTTATAAAAACCGTATTTTTGTTATTTTAATTATGGGGGGCAGGTGCACATGAATGCAAGAGCCCACAGAGGGCAGAGGTGTCAGATCCCTCGGAAGCTGGGGTTACAGCTAGTTGTAAGCACCTGCTGTGGGTGCTGGGAATCGAACTTAGGTTCTCAGGAAGAGCAGTGTGTGCTCTTAACCACTTAGTCATCCACCCAGACCATTCCTCCTGTTCTAAGATAATTTATTTGTAATATTTTTATTTTTTGTATTCCTCTGTGTGTCCATGTTCTAGGTTGTGTCAAGTGTCTTTCTCAGTGACTCTCTACAGTGTCTCTTACTGAGGCTGGAGCTTGAGATTGATTCAGCTGTTTGACTGGCCAACCCATCCCAAGGCTCCTCCTGCCTTTGCTCTGCCTACTGGAGTTATACTGTGCACTGACACATACATGAGTTCTGGGGATCAAACTCAGGTCCTCATTACTTTTGTGGCAAGCATTTTACTGACTGAGCCATCTCCAACTCTTCCTCTCCTGCATTTGTACTGTAAAAAAAAAAAAAAAATTAGGGGCTTGAGAGATGGCTCGGCTGTTAAGAGCACTGGTTGCTCTTGCAGAGGACCTGGGTTCAATTCCCAGCACCCACACGGCAGCTTGACACCATCTGTAACTCCAGTTATAGGGGGGGTTCAAAGGCCTCTTTCTGGCCTCCTCAGGCACTACATGCACCTGGTGCACGAATACTTATTCAGACAAAACACCTATATACATGAACCAAAAAAATCAAATTAAATAAAAAAAAAAAACAAAGCCAGGCGGTGGTGGCGCACGCCTTTAATCCCAGCACTTGGGAGGCAGAGGCAGGTGGATTTCTGAGTTTGAGGCCAGCCTGGTCTACAGAGTGAGTTCCAGGACAGCCAGGGCTACACAGAGAAACCCTGTCTCGAAAAACAAAAACAAAACAAAACAAAACACCAAAAACAAGCAAACAAAACAAACAAACTAAAATCCCAAGGCAGTCATCCCAAACAAGTCCTTAAGGGAACCCCATGATCCCAGAAAGACCTTCTGTTGCATGGGCTGGTGGCTCTTTAACAGCATACAGATACAAGATTTGAGAGGTTCAGATAGAGGTTGTGAGTTTTCAAGGGTATTTTTGCTTAGAAGAGAGAAAACTAGTCCCCACTACCTTGGTGCTCAGGACTAAATTCAGCAAATACCCCAAGGTCAGCTGTAGTAGCTTGGACAGTTGCTGCAGGAGGCAGCAAACTTAAATATTGGGGGAAAAACAAACTGACAAAAACAAACCCTGGATTCCTTTATTTATTTATTATTTTATTTATTTACAAAGGGCTCTTAAGCACAAACAGGGGTCCTTTAGGCCCCACTGGAAAGTTGCTTTGCAGCAGGAGGTTGAGGTCAGCCTGAGCTACGTAGCAAATTTTAGGGTATCCTTAGGCTACCAATGAAAGACCCAAGACTGTGTCACAAAACCAAAATAATTAATAATTAATATTATTAATAATAATTAAAACAATAAGGAAGCACAAGGAATGTAATGGATACTTGAAAGAAGCAGGCATGTGTTTAATGTGTGTGATGTGATGCCTTGGGATGTTTGTTACTTTTACCTGAAAGTTATGGATACCTTCATGCTGACTTTAAGAGCACACCCACACTGCAGACCCTAGGACTTTAAGCCAGTTGTTCTCAACCTGTGGGTCCCGACCCCTTTGGGGGGTCAAAAATCCTTTTACAGGGGTCACCTAAGTCCATTAGAAGGCACAGATATTTATGATTCGTAAGAGTAACAAAATTGCCGGGCAGTGGTGGCGCACGCCTTTAATCCTATCACTTGGGAGGCAGAGGCAGGCGGATTTCTGAGTTCGAGGCCAACCTGGTCTACAGAGTGAGTTCCAGGACAGCCAGGGCTACACAGAGAAACCCTGTCTCAAAAAACAAACAAACAAACAAACAAACCCCAAAACAACAACAACAACAACAAAAAGAGTAACAAAATTACAGCTATGAAGTAGCAACGAAAATAATGTTGTGGTTGGGATGGGGGCATGTCACCACAGCATGAGCTGTATTAAAGGGCCTGAGCGTCAGGAAGGTTGTGAACCGCTGCTTCAGGTGGTTAATTTGTTTACTGATTTTATCATTACTATTTTTCGACAGTCTCATTACGTAGCCCCGTCTGTGTTCTCCGGCTCTTAGCAAGCTTCCCGCCTCAGCCTCCCAAGTGCTGGAATTACAGGCATCAGACATTCTACCTTTTCCATTTAAAATGTTAATCAGTTTATTTTAAAATAGGTTTAGGGCTGGGCAGTGGTGGTGCACGCCTTTAATCCCAGCACTTGGGAGGCAGAGGCAGGCGGATTTCTGAGTTTGAGGCCAGCCTGGTCTACAGAGTGAGTTCCAGGACAGCCAAGGCTGCACAGAGGAAACCCTGTCTCCAAAAAACAAAACAAACAAACAAAAAACAAACAAACAAACAAACAAAACAAAAGGTTTAGGTTACAGGAAAAAATGCAGAATTTCTCACACATTTTAAATCCGTTTCTATCATCGAGGTCATTGGTATCTTACATTGAGACACATCTCAGTGAAAAGAGTGATACAGGTTATATTATTAACTCAGGTCTGTGCTATGCTTGTTTTTTTTTAGTTTTTCCCAGTCCCCTTTTTATAAGTGCTTTTTAAGATTCTAAGAATCCTGTTTGTGGCTTGGGGCACCTCACTATGATTATACTCCATTTTATACTTGCACACAGGGGAGGGTGCTGTTGTCAGTTCCAGACCAATGTGAGCTACATAGCAAGACCATAGCTCAATAAAATAAAATGAAATTCATTAGCGGTGGCACAAGTTTATCTTCCCAGCCCTTGGGAGGGAGCAGCAAGAGGTCAGACGTTCAAGGTCATCTCTATGGCATAGCAGCTGGAGGCCTTTCTGGCTTGTGGGAGACCTATTCTCAGGGAAAAAAAAGAAAGAAAGGAGAAAGTTATTTTGTACGGGTTAGAATGACAAAAAGTAGCTGGGTGGTGGTGGTGCACGCCTTTAGTCCCTGCTGAGGCAGGAGGATCTCTGAGTTCAAGGATAGCCTGGTGTAGAGTGAATTGCAGAACAGCTAGGGCTACACAGAGAAACCCCATCTTGAAAAAAAAAACCAAGAAAAAAAGAAAATAAAGAAAGAAAGAGAAGGAGAAAAGAGAAAGAAGAAAAAACGAAGGAAGGAAGGAGAGAGAAAGGAAAGACACAAAGGCGAGAAGACGGCCCAGCTCTCTAGGTTGCCCTGAGCCCTGCTTGCCCGGGAGCCCCGGCAGGAGGCGCGCGCCCGCAGGGGCCGGCCGGGGACGCGCGCGGCCGTCGTGCCGGAAGCGCGCGCCTGGCCGGGCTGGAGCGGCAGGTGCACGCGCGGGGCCTGCGTGCTAGAGCGATGCGCGCGTGCGCTCCGGGGTAGCACCCGACCCGGCCTGCGCGCCCCCGGCCCGCGCGCCCCCGGCCCGCAGCGATGTGGTGGCTGCGCCTGCTGCTCCTGGCGTTTCTAGCGGCGGGCAGCGCCGAGGCCCAGGCGAACTCCAGCGACGGTGAGCTTCCCGAACTTCCCTCCGCTCCCGCAGCAAGGCCGCAGGCTGCCCGGCTCTGTGCAGCCCTCCCCGGTTGCAGACGCGCGTCAGACCGCGGGTTCGGGACCGGGTCCATCTTGTCAGCGCCTCCTTTGGGCTGGGAACCGGGAAGAGATAAGTAGCCCCCTTTGAGGCATTCTTCCCGGCAGGGAGCAGCCATGTTTGTGGTTTTAATTGGACCCACTAAAACGACCTTTTAAACTGAATTTCGGGGAGCACGCCTGTAAGCGCAGCACCCCGTAGGCTGCGACAGGAGCATTATGTGTTCGAGACCGGCCTGGAGAGTGAGCGTCAAGCCCATACTAACTAAAACCAAACCCAACCCGTCGGCTACGGGGCAGCTAAGTCTATCGAGGAACTAAGGCGTTCGGTGCAGTAGCTGGCTTTGAAACGCCAAAATCTAGATGCTTTTCAACTGGGTGACGATTTGCAGTTTGAGAGGAAAAATGAGCCAGTGATGGGACGTGAAATCCTAGGTCGTGTGTGAGTGAGAGGGGTATAGCGACTGTTGGGAAGGGTCGGGGGCGTTAATGGGAAGCGTGAAAAGCACTAATTGTGCCAGGCTGGTGATCACGTGCCATTTCTGCTGCCTGCGTTAACTACATTCCTTGTTGAGAGCTCGAGACAAGTAGCAGATACAACAGTTTTCTGAATGATGGGATCGTTTTTCCTAGATGTTTGTTTGAAAAGCCAGGGTTAGTATCGCATTTTAGGATCTTTGAGTACAACTAAGGCCAGTAGTGAAAAATACAAATATTTGTGTGTTGAGTGTATGCACACACAGCCTTCTATTTTCTAGAAAAAAAAAAAAACAAAAACCTCGGGCTTACAGTAGAGAGGAAGCATCGACCTGTGTCCCTGGCTGAGTGCTAGGTCCATTTCGCAGCCCGAGTACTCCAATCCCCAAAGCTCCCCGAGATAGCGATCCAACCCTCAGGAGGCTAAGATGCTCCTTTACACAAACTTAGCAACACCTGGTGTGCTGCCCTGCAAGTTGCATGACCCCCTGCACTTCAGCAAAGCCACTTTCTGAGAAGAATATCTTGCCCAGGGGGCTGGGGTTGTAGCCGAGTCGGTAGAGTGTTTGCGTAGCATTTAGGAAGTCCTGGTGCCCTTCCTGAGCGTGTCATGGACCGGCTGTGGCGGTACATGCCTAGACCCCGGCATTCAGAACGTAGAGGATCAAGAATACAAAGTTAGATTCAAGTACATAAGGATTATGTACATAAGGATTATGAGGTCAGCCTGGGCTACATGAGACCCTAATCTCAAAAACAAACAAACAAACAAACAAACAAATCCCCCCAAAAACAAAACCTTTCACAGCATAAGGGCTTATATTTATTCTATGAGTCCTTGTCTTCGGAATATCCTTCTGAAGGTGGGAGAGAGGAAGGGTTGAATTTGGGGTTGATCTTGAAGAGCTTCTGAGTCTGGAGGGCCGGGAGCCAGAGCTTTTATTTCCAGTGTGCAGTTTCAGTACTTAATATCCAGAAACTTCTCACAGAAGTCAAGAAAGAGAAGAAGTAAGTCGAGGATTAGTTTTGTTTCTCTTACACTGTTTCACCTCTGATTACGGCACGACGCAGCTGCCACGCGTGCTGTTCTTTCTGTCTTTAGTATTGTTGTGTGCAGGAGGGGGATGGGACTCGGGGCCTCAACAGCTGTATGATTAAAAGCTGACTTTCCGTATCTGGCTGGTGAGATGCAGCTGGACATTACAGACAAAGGGTGAGCCTACCATGAACGGCTGAGCTGGGGTTATGGTACAGGTGGCAGGAGCTGTATCTCTGCACGTTAGAAGGATCTGCCGGCTTCAGTAGGATGAGGCGAGTGTCAGTGACTGGATGTTCAGTGAGGGCTGGGAGACAGATGGACATTCTGGATCCGGGGAGGCTCATCTTTGTGTCTAGTCACCCATGCTCTGCTTGCCTAGGTGTCTTCATTTTTGTTTTAGATTTGTGCCCGGTTGCTCACCTGGAAGCCTGTCCTTTAAGAGCTGAGTGGGGCCTACATTTTGTACGAGGACCTTGAGCCACTGGTGTGGATTAGGCGGGCGCATCTGATGACCTCCTCCCAGACATCCTTGAAGGGCCGTGTTTTCGTTGTGGTGTGTCCTTTTGGCTTCATACATTTATTTACTTTGTGAAGCCGAGGGTTGAAGCTTGGTCCCTCCACACACGGGACAAGCATGTCACACTGAGCTAGATCCCTGATCTTTGCCATCAGAAGATAAAAAAACTTTAGGTGAACATGATGCTAAGTACCTGTAATCCCGAGCACCTCAGAGGCAGAGGCTGGAGGATTGCCTCCATTTCGAGGCCAGTGTAGGCTACACAACAAGACCTTATCTCAAAACAAAGAACACACAAGCAGGTACAAATTGTAAGGGATAGCTGAATGACAACCAAGTTCAAGTAGCTGGGCTGTTGTTGCCCCAAGTGTTTGGATTGAGGAGAATTAGTCCAGTTAGGAGGGATACAAGTCAGTGCTCCTAAAGTTGGCTGCTGGGTTAGCTAGCACAGACAACAGAGGGAAGTCTGAGGTGCATTTTAGTAACACAGTCAAATAGGGAGTTGGGTGGTTTTGAGATAGAGATCTGATTGGGAAAGAGGAAAAGATTAGGAGTGGAAGGTCTTCCTAAGAATGGAGTCAGTGGCAGGAAAAGGCGACTCTGGCTGATTAAGGAAACTACGTATTGTGAAATATATAAAAAACCGTCCCTCCCATCCCGATGGCGGTTTGGGTTGTTTTTAAAATGTCAGATGAAGCAGAGCCATAGATCTTCCAAGTACAGTTCGAGTAAGCACGCCATCTTGACTGGGCTACCCGCTCTGTAACATCCTTTGATGTGCTGTCTGCTTCCCACACCCCAGTCATAAGATCTAATTAGGCCAGTCAAATGTTTCTGGTGACTCCTTCTCCGGATGGCTTGAAGGCAAGGGTAGGGTCCTATTAACTTCTGCAGGATGTGTTTTGGATATGTCTTCTCTTGCCAAGTCTCTTGTGATTAGAAATTAACTGCCGTTTCCAGCCAGGCTGGGTGTCTCAGGCTTGTCATAACCCAGCTTGGGAAGGTGAGGCAGAAAGACTCCCCTGTTCTCTCCCATTTCTGGGTTCTTTTTGGTGGTACTGGGAATTGAACCCAGAGCCCTATGCAAGCATCTACCATAAGCCACACCCCAGACCCCACCTTGAGTATCTTCCATGGTATCTCTGTGGAAGTCTCCTCAATGCTGCTTACGATAGGCAGAGCATCTCTGGGAGGACACGTTAACCCTCTCCCCACTAGTATCTTTGTGGGGCCAATCTGAGGATTCCTGAACATCTTTGCATCTCCAAAGCACCAGCAAGCTACAGAAGTTCATGGCCCTTGCTATGGGGCACCTGTAGGTTATAAAACCGTCTTCCCATTTGTTGAGTGGTTTCCGCGGCTACTTCCCTTTAACTGAGAGAGAACAGAGGCCCAGAGGAAATAAAAACCTTGCCTTAAGTCACAGAGTTCAGGCAGTGTTGAACAAGCATTTACTGCCAGGCCACTGGTACGGTGCCAGACACTGGATCATTAGATATGACAAAGACCTGTGTAGCCGGGAGGGAAACCACGGGAGCTCCGGTTAAAACCCAGCCTTCTGTACAAATTGCGCAATGGTTCTTGTCCAGGGAATCATTCCCTCCTCAACCCCCAACACACACAAAGCAGCTCGGTTAATAATGGAGACTTGAGAGTCTCTCTCTTATTCACCAGGCTTGATGTTAGCAGTTCTCAGTTGCTTTCTGCTTTGTTTCCTGAGACAGGGCTAGCCTTGAACTATACATAGCTGAGGATGACTTAAATATCTGATCCTCCTGCCTCCACCCCTCTCCCCAGTGTTGGATGACAGCACCTAACACTTGGTTATACATCACGGATGCTCAAACCCAGGGCTTCGAGTGTGTTGGTCGAGCTGGTTAAGCCCTCTCCCAGCTGAGCCACACTCCCAGCCCTTCCTCATGTGGTTTGAATGAATGTTTGTTTCCAAGTTCCTGTCTGCAGCTACTGCTAGGCATTTTCATCTAAGTGGTATGGGTGAATCTTGGCAAGAGATCACCTCCACAGACGACCAGGGTATATTGTACTTTCCTTATGATAAGGACACTTCATAAAAACTAGAAAATGTTCTGGGCGGTGGTGGCGCACGCCTTTAATCCCAGCACTTGGGAGGCAGAGGCAGGCGGATTTCTGAGTTCGAGGCCAGCCTGGTCTTCAGAGTGAGTTCCAGGGCAGCCAGGGCTACACAGAGAAACTCTGTCTCGAAAAACAAACAAACAAACTAAAACAAACAAACAAACAAAAACTAGAAAATGTGATAGATAGTAAGAAACTGTATTTGAAAAAGAGAAACACTCTAAGGTAGCTGTTAATGCTACTGATGTTAGAACAACAGGGCCAGTTTTTTAGCTACCACAGACTGTCTCCCCACACGCCTTCACTATCTGTCTTCAGCAGGTTTCTGCTGCAGGGATGTGGGGGTGGGGCCTCGGTGGAACATCATGTCTGAAAAACGCAGGCGCTCTTTCTTGTGGTTCCGAGGAACCTGGGTGAACTTCCTGAAGTCAGAAGCACAGGCTTCAGCTTGGAATTACAGTCCTGCTACCTAAATCGTGCCTCGGGCTCTTTGTTTTTAGTTGTGACCTTTTAGACAGGAAGACAACTCAGGTACAGTTTCACCATAAGAGGGCAAAGGTCGTCTGTTACACCATGACATCAAAAATCTCACATTAAGTTAATTACCTGACCTATATGCTTTCTGGAACATTTTCCCACAAAACAGAACTATTTTATTTTTATTTAGGGGGAATTTTTGAGACAAGAGTCTCTCATAGTCCAGGCTGGCTTCAAACTCGCTATCTAGCCTAGGATGGCCCTGGTCTTCTGGTCTCTGCCTCAGTGGTGGTTTGAATAGGAATCTCCCTGATAGACTTAGGTGTTTTAATACTTGGTCCCTAAGGAGTGGCATTACTAGGAGGTGTGGCCTTGTTGGAGTAGGTGTGGCTTTACTAGAGGAAGAATGTCCCTAGAGGGTGGGCTTTAAGGTCTCAGAAGCTCAAGCCAGTTCTTTTCTTGCTGACTGTGGATTAAGATGTAGAACTCTCAGCTCCTTCTCCAGCACCATGTCTGTCTGCTTGCCACCATGATGACTGTGGACTAAACCTCGGAACTTGTAAGCCAGCCTCAACTAAATGGTTTTCCTTTATAAGAGTCGCTCTGGTCATATCTCTTTACAGCAAAAGAAACCCTAACTCAAAAAAACCTCCGAATGTTGAGATTAAAAGTGCCCATGCCATGCATAGCAATTTTTCTTTTTTTCTTTTTCTTTTTTTTCTTTTTTTGGTTTTTTCAAGACAGGGTTTCTCTTGTGTAGCCCTGGTGTCCTGGAACTCACTCTGTAGACCAGGCTAGCCTCGAACTCTAGAACTCAGAAATCCGCCTGCCTCTGCCTCCCAAGTGCTGGGATTAAAGGCGTGCGCCACCCCCGCCCGACGCATAGCAATTTTTCTTTTTTTTTTTTTAAGATTGTTTTATTTATTTATTATATGTAAGTACACTGTAGCCGTCTTCAGACACCCATATGAGGGCATCAGATCTCATTGCAGATGGTTGTGAGCCACCATGTGGTTGCTGGGATTTGAACTCATGACCTCTAGGAGAGCAGTCAGTGCTCTTAACCGCTGAGCCATCTCACCAGCCCGCAATTTTTCTTAGTTTGTTTTCCACACTAGGCTAGCAGTGGTTATGTTGATCAATAGATGTCATTATGATTTGCGTACACAGTGGGATACTCGGCAGCTTTAAAAAGAGCCAATTAGAACCCCCACCCCAACCCCAACCCCTGGTAGTACTGATATGGAACTCACACATGCTAAACAAATATTCTCTCAGCAAGCTCCAGCTTCAGCCCTGAGTTATCAATATTGACGTATACAGATGCCCAAGACCTAGTGAGTGGTGTGTGCCCATTGTTTAATAAACATCTTTCGTCTTGCACATGTGGAAATAGGTAGCACAGTATGACCGGTGATACTGAATCTTCAGCACAGAGCTGGTCTCCATACCCACGAGCTTTACATCCTGCAGATTCAACTACCTGCAGAGTGAAAATATTTTTTTGAAGTGTATCTGTATCAAATGTGCACAGGCTTTTCATTGTTACTGTCTCTAGCAATATAATGATATAGCACTTGTGCTAAGTATGTAAATAATCCACAGATAAACGCGCGTGTGTGTGTGTGTGTGTGTGTGTGTCTGCCTTGTTCCCTTGAAAAGAGCCTCTCACTGAACCTGGACCTATACTGTTGGCCAGAAAGCCCCAGGGATCTTACAACCCCTGCCCTCCATAGCATAGAAGTTACAGTGTATATGGCTGTGCCTTGCTTTTCATGTGGGTGTTGGGATTTGAACTCAGGTCCCTCATGCTTGCTTACTAAGTGTTTTTTGTTTGTTTGTTTGTTTGTTTTGGTTTTTTGAGACAGGGTCTCTCTGTGTAGCCCTGGCTGTCCTGGAACTCACTCTGTAGATCAGGCTGGTCTCGAACTCAGAGATCCACCTGCCTCTGCCTCCCAAGTGCTGGGATTAAAGGTGTGCGCCACCACTGCCTGGCTTTTACTAAATGCTCTTACCCACTGAGCCATCTCCTACGGTGTATACCACCTTACGTGAGGCATGGGCAGGGATCGGCAGTTGGAGAGTTTGGAGCTTGTCTCCTATGAGTGCTAAGGGATGATGGTACATATACCCGAGTGTCAGCTGCGGGGATGTTTGCACTAGGGGAGGCAATGGGCAAGTGTTGAGACATCCCTATATTGTTTAATGTCTTTTTTCTTTCTAAGTGCTGAGAGTTGAACATAGCTGTGTGTGTGTTGTTGTTGTTGTTTTAACAAATTTAAAATGTAGACTCAAGGCAGAACTTGAATCTTGAGGTCCTCAGAAGCTTTTGTTAAATCATGAAATTTCTGATAAGACCACTTTGAAACTTGAAAGAGTATGTATAAAGAAAAACCACTTGACATATACTCTCAGGGATGCTTGTTTTTAACATCACTCTTCGTGGTATCAGTGGCCACTTATCATTTTAACTGCTATAGTCCGGTTTCTTTTCTAAAAAATTTATTTTATTTATTTTATGTGTATAGGTGTGTTTTTGTCTGCATGTACGCCTGTACACCACATGTGTGCCTGTGCACCATGTGTGCCTGCCACCTGCAGTGGCCAGAAGAGGGTATGTGATTCCCTGGAACTGGATACAGGTAGTTGTGAGCTGCCATGTGGGTTCTGAACCTTGGTCCCTGGGAGAACAGCTGGGCTCTTCACTGCTGGGCCTTTGGTCTTGTGGTTCGTCACTGTCTTTCTAGTGTGCTGGAATCGTGGAGAATGATTCTCACTTCTGGGTTGAAGAGAGAGGTTAAGGAAAGTTAGCCACCAGCATATCTCTAGAGATGGCTTCAGTGTCTTCCAGGCCTTCTGAGCTATTCTGGTGTAGAGTCTATGTCCTGGGAAATAACCGAGGGTCACCACAAACATCTCTACAGTACACTGGAGGAAAGCCCAATGATGGCTGGCATCTCCGATAGAGAAGCTGTAATGAATTTGCTTGATCAAGTTTTGGGCACAGATTGCTACTTTATAAGTACTTGCTGATACTTGTCAACTGGAGAAAACGAGGGAAAAGCGTGTCTGCAGAGAGGAGCGGGAGGAGACAGAAAATGAAACCAGAAAATGGAGGACAGAAATGTGTTCCTTGCACAGGGAAAGGATGCTGGCCCTGAGGGCCAGGAAAAGTGACCCCCCACAGCCAACAGGCCAAAAGGCATATTTGTGTTGTTTTTGAGACAGGTTCATTTTTTAAAAATGAATTAAATTGTTTGCCATTTTCATACTGGGTTTGGAACTACCTATTGGAGACTGGTGGGTTCATTAGGGATAAAACTGAAGACAGTGAATCTGTCTGTAGTCAAAGCTCAGCAGGAAGGGTAGGGCTCCCGAGACCCTCGGCTACCCCACAGGGCTGGCCTTGTGCAGGCTTGGTACCGGTGTCCATGGCTGTCGTGAGTCAGGATCGCAGTGGCTTCGTCTTACCAGGCTTTAGTTTAAAGTTTCATTATCCTCGTTGTGACACACATCACTCAAACAGCAACAAGGTCTTGATCTGTATACTTCAGGCTGGCCTCGGACTCACATGGATCCCTGTGCTTTAGACTCCCAAGTGCCTGTATATCAGGTTTGCACCAATATACCTGACTCTCAAGGGGTTTTCCGAGGGATAAATTAGCACCGTACATTTGTTTATGAATGAAATTTCCACAGACTGGTACTAGAGGTACAATATTGTAATGAGAAACTTTTCTCATTGTAGGTTTCCTTGAGTTTTCCGTGGGGAAATTTGCATACTTTGTGCTCAGCAGGCCTTTCCCCCAGGAGGCCATCCTGCAGCACATTTCAAGCAATGTGACCTTTCTTCTTTTCCAAATACACTCACAGTATCAGAACACCACAGTTTCATTTACTAAGGTAAGTGCAAAGGATTGTTTCAGTAAGAGAGAACATCTCTATAAGGTTGAGTCTTGTATGTTAGAATTTGGTGTCTGTATCAGTGGGCCTGGTTTCCATGCGGCAAGGTTTCAGCCATCTTTAGTTGTAAGACCTCACTGCCTAGGCTGCCCTCGGCGCCTGGGCTGCCCTCCCTTCCCTTGACTTGCAGACTATGTAGGTGGACAGAACTACACAGGGTTCTAGAAATGACTGTGACGAGCAGACCTCTTTCTCCTGTCCCTTCTGATGGCCAGTAGCATTCTTGGTATTTTGTTTTGACTCGTTTGATTTTTGGTTGCAGTGGCGTGGGTTCTCTGAAGCCCGCTGACTCTCTAGGCAAAGCTGCTTGCTTTGAGGCTTGCCAGGTTGAAACTCACCTGGCACATTTTCCCCTCTCATTCTCTTAGCTTTAAGAGAACATCCTGATAGTGGAGTCGAGAGCATTAGGCTAGCTTCCACCACACAGTGAGACAGAGATGACCTGACCTACGTGAACGCTTGCCTTAAAGGAAAAAAGATTTCCAGCAGGATGGCTCAGTGGTTAAGGAGCACTTACTGCTCTTGCAGAGGTCCTGGGTTTGACTATAATTCCAGTACCAGAGGTTCTGATTCCTCCTCTGGCCTCCACAGGTACCAGGCATGCTTATGGTATGCAGAAATGCATACAGGCAAAAACATACATACACATAAAATAAAAAGAAGTAATTAAACAAAACAAATCTTTAAAACAAATGCTTTTTGTAAACTGAACTCTTTGGAGCCAGAGCTCTGGTTTTGTCTCGTTAGCCTCAGGATCTGACAGAGTTAAGTGTTAACTCAGTTGAGCTGTAGTGTTTGTAAAAGCTCAGTGTGCAAGTCGTAGAGGTTTTGTTTGTTTCTCTGTTTCTTTGCTTTTGTTTGTTTTGTTTTGTTGTCTTCCCATATTAAGCTGGGTGTGAAATCCAGGCCATCAGACTCCACAGGCAAGTGCTTTCTTGTCTGCACCCTGACCCCTGATGTCTTGGTATTAAGAATTGGAAGCCGAGGGCTGAGGAGAAGGCCCAGGGCTATAGGACCTGAGTTTGATCATAAAAACCCACCAAAATCCAGAAAGCAGCCAGGCCTTGTGTGGGCTTGTTTCCTTAGGTCCAGAGAGGTAGAAGCAAGGCTCAGCTGGCTAATTAGTCTAGCCAGTCAGTGAGCTCCAGGTTCAGTGAAAGACCATGTCTTAAAAAGTAGTCTGCTGGGGATGGAGACACAGCTCAGCAGTTAAGAGGGCTTGTTCTTGGAGATGACCCGGGTTCAGTTCCCAGCACTCACAGAGCATCTCTTAACCATGGATAACTCCAGTTCCAGGAGGTCTGACCTCCAGGCATGCACGTGGTATACTTTCACACAAGCAGGTGAAGAGAAGCCTGCCTCTGTGCAAAGCTCCCCTCCCCTCCCTGCCCTTTCAGAAAGGGCCTGGCCTGGCAAGGAAATATTGCTATCCCTGTCTTCGTGGTGGCACTCCCAACCTAACCTTCCCCCCCAAGTTCCCCACCACTGGGAGTGACATATGCTGGCTTGGGGATTGGGAATAGACAAACAGCAATATCTCTCAGCTGAGTGTCACTGAGGCTGGCATCCTCCCTGATAGATGGCTAGCAGTTCCCTTCTTTGGGAGAATCGAAGACCAAACATCCTTAAAGAGATAAGTGCCATAATTTGGGCCTTGAGAGAAGGGCAATTAAAGTTCCCAAACAGCTGTGGCCAGGTTGTAAAAACACAATAGTTCCTGATAACACCATAAAGTTACTTCCCAGGCCAGAAGCTCCCCCTCCCAGTTACAAGATTCTGTTCCACTGCCTGAACAAATGATACCGTGTTTGAAGGGTGACTTCCCTTGTCACCTCCTCCATCACGAAACCCCAAAGTCCGAGAATCCCTGCTTATGCTTATAGGTGTATAAAAACTCCAAGCCTCTAGATGCGGGGTCACACTCCTAACCCACGAAGTAGGAAGGTTTGCAAACCTTTTATTGAGTCTGACTCTTTTGTTACTTTCCACTGGAAACCACGAGTTTTTCTGGGAATCCCAAGACCTGGGCATAACACAGGCAGACCACTCGTATACATAAAATGAAACAAATGATAAATCTAAAATATATAAATTAAATAAAACAATAAGTTGGAGAAGGATAAAGGGTATTACCCAGTGTCAACCTCGTTCTCCACTTGCCACATGTATTCCCATGGGCTCACCACATGTGTGCTCACACACTCATCATGTGTGTTCACATATACCACGTATGTGCTCACCACATGTGCTCACACACTCATCATGTGTATTCACATACACCACGCATGTGC